AAACACTCAAGTTAGAATGAGATAACGATGAGAGCGAACCTACTGCAGTTGACAGTCGACAGTCGAGGTCTGTGTGATCAATTTACCACTCTGCTGGCTACCATTCCTGGAGTACGAGGTGCGAACGATTTGTCTTCTTATTTACTAACGCCTGATACTTGAGGTTTTCCCATAGATGATGGCGCAGAGGAGATAATTCACATAGTGAGAGAGTTCCAACAAAGAAACAGAACCCACGATTGATATCTATGAAAATCATTGCAGGGCTATAGTTCCATGGGTAGCCCCACTGCAAGAGATGGTAACGATTACTCTTTGAAGGTAATAAAATTCGGATATTACCTTTTTATGTCAATTTAGTATAATTTTCGAAAACATAATTACTCTTTTTCAAAATCTATTTTTGAAGGTATAGGTAAATTTAAAAAATAAAAGTATTTAACAAACATATTACAGTTTTTCAAAATTAGACATAAAATGTTTACCTGTAATTTCTATTTACTAAAATGTTTACCAGTCATCACCCYTTTATCTCTCTCTCTTGAAAATTTTATGTATCTTTAATTTTTCTTTCTTTTCAAACACATCTCTCTCATTTTTCTGTCTTGTAAGTTTCATTTCTCTTTTTTAACTATACGAACATATTTCTGGCTATTCTCTCCTTAAAAATTTAATATTTATCTCAAACTTCTCTCTAATATATTTTATCCAAACTTTTTCCTTCTCTCAATTATTTTTATCCTAACAAATCTATGTATATCTTTTGTCTATCTGAAATTTCTCTAAACTTTTCACTATAACTTTTCTCTCTCTTTCTTTATAATTTGCTCTAAAATTTCTCTAAATTTGTACCATAACTTTTATATATCCAAATTTTCTCTAAATTTCTCTAAAGGTTCTCCATGTTTTCTCTCTAACTTTCCTCTCTAAAATAAAACTTGAAAAAAAAAAATCAAACTAATTGCCTTACCAAACTTAAATAATTTATGCTTTCTTGAAAACAAAAATCATACACGCATGGTAATAGTTTTTAGTTTTCTAAGATAGAAAAGAGAGAAATTAAAAATATATGTTGGAGAAAAATGTTTTAGTTACAACCGTGCTGATAGAAATTTAAGAGAGACTTTTGGCGAGAGAGTATTTTAGAGAAATTAAAGAGAGATAAAGCAAACAAGATATTATCAAACTACACCTAAAATTTGTTCTCTTCATCTTTCCTCACCCACTTAAACCTTTTTTTTTTCTTTTTTTTGAGAATTCTGTTTTAGTATAACATATGAAAGTTTAACTTCCAATTTCAAGAAAAGAGTAACAGTCAATTAGGCCACATTTACTTATTCGCAATCGTAATGAAAATCAATCGTAATAAAATCAATAGAAATTGTAATGTTATTTCATTGATGTTTATTAAAAAAATTTTGGAATTGTAATCAGAATTTTTTTTATGTTGTTTATTAAAACTGTCTGGAATCGGAATAATTAGATATATAACAATTATTAATATATYCATTTCTCCTTTTTAACMAATTACAAATATATTATTGTGCTAATCCTTTTTAAATTACAATAATAATAAAATTTGATTTAATTTATTAATATATTATTGATAGTAAATATTTTTTATTTAACAATTTATCTAATATTAATACATGATGAATAATTAAAATAAAATTAATATTTGTTATTAGAACAACCAAACTTTAATATGACATATTATTAAGTTTTATTATCCTAAAGTTTTATTATCCTAATATTTAAGATGTTAAGGAAAGATTTTTAAACTCTAATAGCTTAACTTTTAAGATGTTACTTAAAAGATTTTTAAACTTGAAAAATCGTAATAGGATTTTATACTTATAATTTTGTCTTATAGAACCTTGACCTTTTAATATTGTATTTATTAGGTTCATGAATTTTTTAAAATATTTACAATTTAGCTCATATTAGATATTTTAAAGTTTAAGAGCTTATTAAATATAAATTTGAAARGGTTTTGCTTTCAGATAGGAAAAAGGAAAAACCAAGAAAAACTAKTTTTCAATCAAACACAAGGACCAATCTCCATTATACCAGRGAGAGATGAAAGAGCTATTTATCTTAAATATATTATAATATTTTGTCAACATGTTTTGATTTTCATATCCTGTATCTGTTATCAAAACATTTTGCTAGATGATCGGTTACAGAAATACTTTTGTATCAGTTGAGTTGCTTATAATTTACTGTCTCAATTGTCAAGCATAAGAACAAATTTTTTCCTCATGCATTCAACTTAAAGATATTTTATTTGTACTTACATGTTAATTACATTTCATTAATTCAGTGACATGTATGTTTGTTAAGCTGTTAGCTATGTCACTAAGGAGTTCATTTTTTTTTAAATTTTAATAGAAGTATTTTTTGAATTACTAAAACAGAAGAAGAAATATATATTAAAGCCAAAAAGAGTTAAAAAGTTAGAATATGGTGTCTTAAAAAGTTATTTTTAACTCAATTTTCCATTTTTCTAAAAAAAATCATTTTGGATAACAACATTACAAACAATAATATATTTATCACGTACTTTCTATTTTTTTCAACCAAAAAAAAGAGAGTAATAAACAACAAATAGCACCACAAACATACTGTTTCTTTTTTTTTTTTTTTACTAAAAAACGATTAAACAAACGAATGTATATACACACATGTACATGCAAGCTAACAGCCCAGTCCCTGCCACGAAATTTCTCCCACCGATGTGAACTCCCTAAAATCTATAGGTCAAATGGACCTGGATAAGTAGAATGCATGATAGTAATCGAAGCTAAAGATAGCAAGTTTGAATATTTTGTTTTAAAAAGTTATTTTACAAAACCTTGAGACAAAAATGGAAGATTCCATTGTGAAAAAACAACTTTTTTTCTAAATAATTAGTCATTCTAAACTCCAATTTTAATATTTCAAAACAAATTAACATTTTTAAAACAAATTCATATTTTCGATAACAAGAAACAAAAATACAGTTATCRGCTATCACTTACATTTTATTTCCTTTTCAGCAAAAAGAAATAATAATATATAATATTAATATAAAACTTAGCAATAGAAATTTACGGATCACTGAGTAAATGAAATCCACATCTATGTAATGACTCGATTCCTTTTCTTTTCGGAGCTGCAAAGGTAGGCTTTGGAAAATTAGGGAAAGAGAATTAGATTCTTAATAGGAAAATCTTGAGAATTGCAAAAGAGTGTTGAAAGTTCCATTCTTAGAGAAAGTCGAGGATGACRGCGGAGATGGAGAGTTTTTGTGAATTAAAAAAATTCAATCAGATCGTCAGGTTTGGAAGACCAGAGAAAAACTCGAGTCTGAAGAGAACAAACGGAATCAATGTATCAACGTCGTAAAATTTGAAGAGATAGTATCTGACATTGATATTTTGAAGGAAATTCTGGACATTATTAGGAGGCAGAGGCATGTAGCTTGGAAAATTCTAATTAGGGAAGAAATTTTCTGCGCTGTTCTTATTGAGGCAGAAAAAGAAGTCTACGGGTACAAAAAATGGCACGGTTACTGGCATGGAGAAGTATTTGATTTAGAAACTAAATTTGCTTTCAGAAGACATTGGAGTAGAAGAAAATTTGATTATCAAGGCAAATTACGAGATAATGGATTGATTATAATAGTGATAAGAAACCTATGGTCTCGGAATGTGGGTTTGATCATTGTTGAAAGTAGAACAACTTTTGTAGAGGTAAAGATATTAAGTACGCTATCACTCCATTGAATTATAACCTAGAGAAAACTATGAAGCATTCGATCAAAATATGATCATCGTGGGAAAATTGAAATCCAGCTTAGAAACTATGGTCAGTGATCGAGAAAAAGTTCGTYAAATTTCTCCTGTCAAATAAAATGTACTAATAGGAACCTCTCCTACTTAGACCTTCATAATGCGCAGCTAACCAAGTCAGATCCCAATTGGTAGCACCCAAAACTTCTGGTGCTCCAACATATTTTTATGATTTGGAGCTGATGGCTGAAATTGGGAACAATAGTATTGAGGTACCGACCTTATAGGCTTCTTCTTTGGTAACGTTTCATTTGATCTTCATGAGCAAAAATGCCGCAACTGTTAACAAACCAAATAGCTTAAACAAAGTCTACTTCCTCAAGAGCAACTCCACAAAGAAATACTTGGATAAAAATTTGTTGTTTCAAGGAAATAAATGTAATTCATGTTTACTACAGAAGCTTCTCTGTGAGAAAAGGAATCACTTCAATTATAGGGCTTTTCATCAGCAGGTGCCAAAATCTGAGAAAAGCCAAAAGTGAAGTTCTATATTCTCAATTTTACTAATCTCAGATCTCTTTTCCAAATACAGAAAGATATCGCAATACTGAAAATAATGACTTAAAATTTTGAAAAAAAAAAAGATATTAATAAGAAAGATTACATGTAATTTAGGAATTTTTTTTTAATTTAGAGAATATTATGTACAATCTGTAAATGAACAAAATCCAAATTCAGTTAACACAATGAATACCAATAAATACTGTTCCTAACTATTCAACAGAAACCACCGCTGACACAGAACCGTCGTCAAATTCTGAAAACAAGGAATTGAAGRCCTGTAGTCTCATCGTGGAAGAAGTTTAATTTGAAATCGTGGTAACACAATGACTACAGATAAAAGTATCGAGAGAGATTAATCAAATCGAGATATAACAAAACAAGACACAAGTCGGCAATGGATGAATCAAATCAAATCGATCAACTAAAAGCTTAAACACCTAATCTAATTAGATCGACGAATGAAAAGCATTTTAGCCTAATCGATACTGAGCAATCGCGATTATTAACTTAAGAACTATTTGATTTCCTCGTCGACTAATCAAAACCGTACGGCGTACAGTAATTAGGAAATATGAAATTTAGCAATCGCGATCGTTGTTCAAGAAGCTACTTGATTTCCTTGTCGAMTAATWAAATCGTACAGTAATTAGGAAATGTAAGACCTAGCAATCAATCGCAATACCTCATTCAGAAACTATTTGATTTCCTCGTCGACTAATCTAAACCGTACAGTAATAAGGAATATGAAACCTAGCAATCGCGATGGTTGTTTAAGAAAATATTCGATTTCCTCGTCGACTAATCAAAATCGTACAGTAATTAAGAATCATAGACCAAGCAATCAAGATTACTGATTAAAGAATAAAGGAATTACGAGGCCTGGCAATCACGATTACTGATCAAACTAGAAATTGTTTGGTTTTCTGAAAAGTAAATCACCAATAACCAATCACCAGCTCATACAATGAATCGATAAAAGATCATTCATAATCCATCATACCTGTCTTCTTCCGATTCCGCGATTCTTGATTTCGAACCATAATCTCATCGCACTTCTGGTCAGAGCAATCTCAAAAACCAAAAACTATCGGAAGCATATTTTGTAGCGTTCAACTCGTTTCCAAGTTCCCGCTCTTGCATTTATATAGAGTACTAGCGGAAGCGGTTGCAGGAGAAAATGGTAAAAAGGGGTTTTCCGTTTTGTATGGACGACACAACGACGCTGTAGACTATGGTTATTAAGACCTAGCCCAATATTGTAAGAGGTTTTATGGGCCTTAAGCCCAATATTGTAAGAGGCATTATGGGCCTCGAGCCCAGTACTCCTCTTTTTCATTTCTTCCTTGCGCCCACAGGCCCTTCAAGCTTCGCCGTCTGAGAGTTCTATGGTGCGGCAAATTCTGGGTATCGTGGCGCCATCGAGACCATCCCCGAAATTTGCTTCCATTGGCAAACTGAGAAACTACCTTAAATGTCAAGTGTAGTTTCTGGAGTGGACAATCATGGTAGTTTCCATGGCGAACATTTCCTCCTTCAACAATACTGGTCCACCTCCACATTCTCCTCGCACTCGCAGCCACAACGCTCACAATTTCAAATTCTATCGCCTTATCTGCTGCCGCGTCCATTGGAAGACGGTCTTCTTCTCTTCTGGCCCTAGTCTGGCTGAATCGCTTCGTYCTCTGCAGCCCATGAGACGGAATTTAGCCAACTTCACTTGCTCCGCTGCTGAAAAACCGGAAATCAGGTTGTTCTCTCTATAGTGTTTGATGGAATATCAATGGCTGATGATTTTAGTTTAGTTTTTCCTTTACGACGAATATTCCATTGAAATTACTTCGTTTGGAATTCGGGACTAGTTAACCTTTTCATTGCTCGTTTCGATRAAGAATATGCTATGAATTCTATGTTACACTGGAAATTTAGCTCATTTGCGAGGAAAGAACTCTAATGCATTGCAACTAATTGTGTCTGCATTTGATTTTACTAGTTTTATGTTCCTTTTCTTTGTAAATTCGAGTGGCTGCATTCGCGGACGACCTACCAACAAAAATTTGAGGAAACTACGAGCTTTCATCATCAAGACTGGCTTCTTGTTTGAGCGTTTCCCTCTGTTACACTAACTGTTTTGTTCTTGGTTTCTGTTTTAAAAAATTAATTTGATAAACACTACTTCCACTCCCACCCATATGTTTCTTTGATTTAAAAACATTTTCAAAATCTAAGCTGCATTTTGAAATTCATATTTTTATTTTTAAAATTTGACTAAGAAATTAGATGTATTTTTAAGAAATGCAACAAGACAAAAAGTGAAATAATTATCAGGGCGGTGTTAGTTGGTTGTCATTTTGATCATTAATGCTTTTAATTTACAAACGAAAGACCAAGAGGAAGCTGGTGTAGTCTGATTGGTTTTCTTCTATCTTAATGTTTTTTTTTTCAGTCTACCTGTTATTCAACCTGAAATGAGGCTTTGTGTGACCATATCTGTTTTTTTCTTAGTTCCACGGCCAAGATAAGAAGTGAAGTTCTCTCTCCTTTTCGATCCGTTCGGATGTTCTTTTATCTCACTTTCATTGCCAGTGGTACATTGGGAGGACTGATTGCAACCACTCAATTGCTAGCTGCATTGGCAAATTCATCAAGAGCTGAACAAGTCCCTGATATTCTAAAAGGACTTGGAATAGACTTCGGAGCCGTAGCTCTTTTTGCATTTCTTTACTTCAGAGAGAACAATGCGAAAAATGCTCAGTTGGCAAGACTTTCAAGAGAAGAAAGTCTTTCGAATCTGAAGCTTCGAGTGGACCAAAGCAAAGTTATTCCTCTCARCTCTCTGCGTGGGATTGCTCGTCTGGTAATTTGTGCTGGCCCTGAATCCTTTATCATGGAAGCTTTTAGATCAAGTGAACCTTTCACTGAACAACTTCTAGAACGGGGCGTGGTAGTCGTACCCTTTGCCACAGATGTCAGTTCCCTGAATTTTGAGTTTGATGAACGTGAAGATTTGAAGGATGTAACCACCAAAAGAAAAAGACTCTGGCGGTTGACTCCAGTTTACATGCCCGAGTGGTCGGCGTAAGTAATTATAATTTACCATCCATTTTCACATTGTTTCCCTCCTCCCCCTTCTCATTTTCCTTTTCCTGTGAACTTTAGGTGGTTAGATGAACAAAAGAAGTTGGCTGGAGTATCCACCGAGTCTCCTGTGTAAGTCGTTCTCCTTGTTAATCTTCAAATAAATTTAAAGTAAAAGGGTGACCTCTACCATATTCTATGGAGCTGCCAATTCGCACAGTCTATCTGGACCGGTTTCTTTTTGGGGTGTCCTTGGCTTGTAACAGGAATTGTATGGGTTTCCGGGATAGAGGAACCCTGTTTTGATAGGCTTGTTTTTCTTGTTATTATGTGAGGTATTTAGATCGAGGGGAATAGTATAATTTTTAGGGGTGGGGATTGGGATCTAGTTAGATTTAATGCCTCTTTTTGCGTTGATTTCTAAGGCTTTTTGTAATTACCAATTAGGTGTCATTCTCTTGAACAGGGGTCATTCTTGTAGGTGGATCCCTTTTGGTGGGCTTGTTTTTTTGTATGCTCCTGGTATATTCTTTCAAATGAAAACTCGGTTTCTTATCAWAATAAATAAATAAAATGGTTTCCCTTTTTATACTTAAACTAAAAATCAAATTGTGTTAATAAATTCTTTCTTTAGTTTTTTAATGTAATATATTGTTTCATCAAGAAGAGAACAGAAAATAAACTGGTATTGCAGAATCCATGCCAAAACTAGTGCACCTTATGTTACTATTTGTTCTTTCAGGTATTTATCACTGCGAATGGACGGCCGTGTTCGTGGTAGCGGTGTTGGTTATCCTCCTTGGAATGCTCTTGTTGCACAACTACCACCTGTGAAAGGGCTATGGTCAGGTCTTCTAGATGGAATGGATGGAAGAGTTCTTTGAAGAAAAACACTTGCTCTTCTTCCAAGTTAGTATTCATTTAACATAACCTGTTGCCGTTGCACACTTCTATTGTTCTTTTGAATACATTAGACATGCTTCTTGTGATCGTATATCTGGCATCTAAACAGCACAGATATTTAAATGTGGGTATTTTGTTCGTGTTTGACACTTGGATACTTCTCACTTATTAGGGCACGTATCACTCACTTGTTAGTCCAACAAACGTTTGTCACACATCAGTGGTACAAAGTAAATATAGTTTTGACAGTTGTTACACACATTTGAACGCAATATAAATGGTAAACCAGGATAAAATGATAAATTTTGAGAGCAAAATACACCAAACTCATTTTTTTAAATATATAAATGCATAAGCTTATTGACTTTAAATTTTCTACATGATATATATTAAAAAATATGTATATTTGAATAAATGTGTCATTGTCGTGCCCATATCCTATATTTAAAAGAAAAAATGACGTATCAATATATCTATGTCGTATCGCATCCGTATTTCATATCCGTATCCGTGCGTCTTAGTCTGCTCATTGATTGAGACTGAATTTAAAATCTACTCTATGATTGAGACTGAGCTGGCACCAAACTTTCCATATCTGACTCAAATCTTATCTAGTTTCAAGAAACGAGGGAATCAACTTTCCTTGAGAAATAAGGTAGAAAACGATGTCACTTTCTTTTTTTTGTACAAAACCTTTATGTCAAACTAGACGGCAGAATCATATCGTATAATCCAACTGTTTGCTAAAGTTTCTTGCTCCAAACAGAAATATTGTATTGATTTGTTATTGTTTTCAGCCTTCTGCTTCCTCAAATACCTATACTGGAGCTTCCCAGAGCCTTTACCATGGAGTGGAGCAAAGTTTTGCTATCATCTTTCTGTCATATCCAGCACAGAGTCACTGTAAAAGCTCCAACTCCATTGTCAATGGTGGACTGCCTGAGAAATGGAAMTGAATCTCGTGACAGCAGAATACAGGTTTTTTTGTAAAGAGATAAAAAGAAGAGGTTTAGCTTATGTGACATCTGGAATTTTATATTTGATCTAGAATCCAATATCCTTATTTATTAGTTATTATAGCTGCAGTAATTGTATTGTAAATCTATATATTGTTAATTGTTAGATGAATGTATATTCAAGTGCCTCAATAAATGGAAATCAAGTAATTATACATTTTCATTCAAATAATACTTTCTAGGCTGYTGTGATAAACATGTGTATASTTCAACTGGTTAGGCATATTTTCTTTACCGAAGTTTAAATTCTGTCTTGTTGAACTTTATTGTGATCAATATGGTATTAGAAAACTTTTACTTCCTTAGGAGCAAATATGTCAACCTGACATTTTATTTAACTCATGACACAAATCTTCGAAACCCATCCATGGGAATCAAACATYGACTTTCATAACCTCAAATCTCTCTTAAAAATCTCATAGGATCTTTTTAGATGTCTTAAAACTCTTTGGGTACTCATCAATTACTAAAATTTAGTAGATGTCTCTTATTAATCACTATTGTGTTTTTAACCATTAAAAGAGAAAGAATGTATACTAGAAGGAAGAGAGAGAGATTTTTTTCTTATACTAGGAAAAGAAATAGTTGTCTACTTTTTAATAGTAGAAAAATACTTACTCAATGGTAGTACCTAAATAAGTAAATCTTATTCTCAAATGGTGATTTATCATGATGTTAGAAGACGTTGTGTGTTCGAATTCTCTAATGTCATTTCTTCCCCATTTAATATTGAACTACCACATGTTGGATTTTGTACAAATTTTCAAGCACATGAGTGACATTAGATAAAAATTGAATTTTGTGTCTAATATAATCATCCAAGTTAGATAGTATTAGATACAAAATTTAGAATACGTAAATTATTAGACATTTTTAAAGTTTAAGAACATACCAAATACGAAATTTAAAGTTGGATSATCTACTGGACACACAATTAAAAATTAAGTTTAGTTGTAAACTTAAAAAAGTAGTCCATAAGTCCAGTTCAGATAAATTTGGTCAATTTCGGTCTGTTTGGTGTTTTTCTTTCCGGTCTATTTGCCGGTTCGGTTCGGCTAGGTGTAGTTGGGTCTGGTCGGATTTAAAAAACGGAGTTTGTTTTTCTTTCCTTTTTTAGTACATATGTTGGTTCGGTTCAACCACAGCCCCTGCCCACAAAACAAACACCACCTTCACTCATGCTACAATGGTTGAAAACCTTCCCTGGTTGTTATTTTTTTTTCTCCAGGGTGCAAGTTGAAATCGAAAAAATCAAACAAAATCCGTTCGAGTCGAGTTATTTCGATCGGTTCAACAGTAGATGTCGATTGGTTGAATTGAAATTGGTTGATTTTAGTCAACTCGATCGGTCAACATGATTTTCAACTTTGGATCGCAAATCAAGTTGGACCGAACCATTTATACTCTTACTTGACTAAAGTCATCTTGTGTGAGTACAGAGGAGAGAGAATAATATTCCGAATATTTAAATACTATTTGGTCCGTTAATATACTTTATGTTTTTGTTTATTTTGATTTTTGTATTATTAAAAATATTTATTTTTATCTATGTAATTTTGAATGTTGTTCAAATAAGGACCAAATTTTTTTAGTATAACAGATTGGAGAGGAGATTCGAACTCACAATTTTATGATTGGAGATATATGTTAATTACCCTGAACTATGCTCGTTTTAGCATAAATAAGGATCAAATTGATTAGTTTTTAAAGACATAGATAATAAAATATATATTTTGAAAGAAAAATTAAAAATATGAAATCAAAATGATGAGTATTAAGGACCACATGAAGAAAAAAGGGGTCTCGAGAGAGGACCGCTTCCTTCTGCACTGTCGCGTCCCTTTCACACGCTTTCACTCTCTTCCTCCTCTTTACGCATATGTGATCCTAGAATTTTGATTTGATATTCATAAAATTTCATCCATTTTTTTGGACAGAATTATTTTTAGGTTAAATTATATATTTGATCCTTAAAATTTTCATGATTTACTCTTCAATAGATAAGGTAACACTCTCCTCTATTCGTGAGTTTGAAAATTTGCACAAGACTCAATAATTGGTAATTAATCAAATGTTATATTATTGYTGGACCCAAAATCTTAAATCGATATGTTTCAATAAATTTAATCACTCAAAAGTTTAAGCTAATGTATTTCAATAAATATAATATTCTATAGATACCTTAACCGAATGATCTTTAAACTATATAAAATGTTAAATATGTTTCTAAACTTTCAATTTTATGTCTAATAAATCTTTGAGCGTCTAATAAATTCGTGAACTTTCAATCTTGTGTTGAGTATTTCTATGAACTTTACATTTTGTTACCATTAGGACCATTAACTTTCAATCTTGTGTCAAGCACGTCTATGAACTTTTAATTTTGTCACTATTAAGACCTTAACTTTCAATCCTATGTCCAATTTGTGAATTAGAGCTTCTTAAAAGTTTAAATATCAAGTTTAGAGACCTATTATATACAAAATTTAAATTTTGATGATATATTAGATACTTTTTAAAGATCGATGCAACTTTGAGAGTGCGAAGACTAAACTTGTAATTTAACTTATTTTAAATCTATTACAATTTTATTTTTTAAAAAGTAAAATGGTTATTTTATATCGAAATAATCGAAATCAATAATAAATAGATATGAAACAACCCACGACAAATAAATTCATTTCTTGATAGTGAACATGAATTATATAGTATACATCTTCATCTATGCTCCATTCTGTTGAAATTCACATGCCTAAAAGTTAATTTTATGATCAAAGGGTTGGAAAAAAGAAAATTATTTTGAAACTTTTGTCGACAACCAAGTATTTGCACGATATTAACATTTTATTTTAACATAATGTTTTATCATGTAAATCATATGCATTAAATGAAGACCGTAAATTTGATAATGTAGCAAAATAGTGACAAATTGTTTATTAAAAAAAGAATTGAATTTTTCATTAGGCATCCAAACAAACATTCCCAACAAGTTGAAGTTGATCATTAATTATTTTTCCAATTATATAATGTATAGTAGTTGTTATAAAAATCTTGAAGTGAAATTAAAAAAGGCCCAAATGGAGGGTCCCCCTTTCATTTCCATGTGCACCATGTTTGACCCTATTGTACAGACCAAAGATTTTGTTGCCATTATTTATTTATTTTTATTATTATTTTTTTTTTGGCTAATCTCAATCTGTTGCCAGCTTACCACATAATCAACTTTTTCTTACCTTTAATTTTGCCAATCACATCAAATTTTTCTTCCTTTTTCTTTAAAAAAATCAATTTATTTCTTTTACCCATCTCTATCTCTATTCATTCTCAAATATTATTGATGTTTTTTAAACGACAAAGATATTTTAAATATTTTTTTACGTTTTTTCATTGATTAACAAATTGGGTCCTCAAATTCACCTTTATTTTAGACGTTATTACTGCATCTCATTAATAACATGAAAAATTYAAAATATTTTTAATTGTTATATGGATTAGTTGGTTTAAGTGTAACAATACGCTGTCACGCTTTTTATAATTAATACATAAGAGAGTACTTATTTTATCTATAGACGCTACTTTACAACTTGTCTTCCCTTACTATTGTGAAACATTTTTACATTGTTGTTGCTAGTTGTAAATAAAAAGCAAGAGTTATTCTAGTTCCCTTCACTCCTCCTCCTATAGTTGAAATCTTTTTGTTGTTGTGAACTTTCCGCCTAGTTATTCGGTGTATTTTCATTTATCTTAAAAGAAAATAAAAAAATATCTAAAAATCAATTATGGTAGTTGTTTTTTTCTTTTTATTCGTGGCAATGAGATTGTTTGCAAAAATGTATATACATGGTGGTCCATTGTGAGCCATCAAGTTGCCCAAAAATAAAAAGAGAGATCCCTGTGGATGTTGATGGAGGCCACATTATTCTTTCTTTTATGGACATTAAAGGGATTATGTTGGACTAATCACAACATTCTTTACTTTTGTTTCTCTTTGAATGCTAAAATGCATTAAAAAAAGATAAAATTTTAATTGAAAAGAAAAGTTTGCCCAATAAATTTTGTAATATCTCAATCAAATCAGATCAAATGTTATATGATTCTGAATGATGTTAATGCTGTAGAAAAAGAAACCCTACTCAAATTAAAGTCAGGGTTGCTGACTGCTTTTTTTTTCTCTTCAAATGTTATATGTTTTTGAATGATTACAGTTTAAAATTTTAAGATTTAAAAATTACTGATTTTACTATTTTTGTTTTTATTTTCATTTTCTTTTAAGAAGAATGATTAAATTAAAACAATTAGCTAKAAATAATTACTCATACATGTCATTAAACTCTTCTAGAAACTAAGCCAGGTATAAAAACAAACTAAAGGAAAAACAAATCTTGATCCATCTTTATGTTCARTCTATAGAATGTCGTCAACATGAGCATAATTTTAACGAATACACTTCGACCAAAATGTTAGAAGAACAAATTCTCATCTCCTGATATTGTTGAATTAAAAAAAGTGGAACGTCTATTTTTATAAAGCTGGATGAGTTTTCTTGATTTGTTTTACAGTGTTAATCATAATTTTATCATATCCACTAATTTGACAAATTAAAACATAAAGTGGAAAGAAGATATTTGTTGCCAACATGATATGTGTGTTTTAAATTACTAATGATTTTTATAATTTATTCGTTGAATAATAATATTATATCTATAATGGCTCAAAATTTACTTGTTGATGTAGGATTTTGGACGATGGGACATGTCAATACCTAGTAGAGGTACTTCGYCACTRATACTTAAAAACTTAAGTTATAACTGAATTTGAGCTAATGTCGAATAAGTTAGATTGTATAAAAATCTTGTGGGGAGCTTTAGGAAGCATGGCCCACCTTGCTGACTCGAAAATGATCATGGAATTCTCTTGGCCACTTGACATGTGGTAGAGAGGTATAATTTTGATAAATTGAAAGTTTTTTTGTCATTATTATTGTAGATGGACTTGTCATCCACATGTTATTTCTTTAACAAAAATTTCCATAAGACAGATCAATACTACTCGTGTCACTTTCACATTCTTCATCATTGCATATATACATATCTATATACATATATACACAATAGAACAAAATTAATTTTTATTATTTTTCTTTTTTTATTTCATATCATATGAGCCTATTTTACTAACAATACCAATCATATAATTATCAATTGAGTGTTTAAAATAGTCGTATTTTAGTATTTCTTTTAATATATTGAAATATTGGAATGTTAAAAGTTTTTTTTAGTACAAATATTAAAGTTATTCAGAAGACCATGATTTTAGAATTCGTAAATCATACTTAAAAAAGAGAAAAACATGAATCACATAATTTTCTATTCTATCATACTACCAACAATAATCACATAAATTTTTGACAAAATTAATTTTAAAAAATTAGCCTCACCAATAATAATAATAAAAAATTATTATTATTATTTCGTTTTTAAAAATACAGTACTGTAAAGTATATTTATATAAGAAAGATCACTGATGCAAACATGATTTGGCGCAGCAAAAAAGAAAGAACTAATTACTCAACTAACTTGTCAAAGACGTATATAATTAATATCAAGAATAGGTCAAATTTTTTTAATCTCTTAACCCTAATTTTTTTCATAAAAGTTACTCAAAACAATTTTTTTTAAGAATATCAATAGAAACGTCAGTCTCAATTTTATAGAAATGTCGATGAAATTATCAATAAAATATCGACGTTGATGGATATTTCTAAAAATTTGAAAATAAAAAAATCATAATAAATAGTTAAATTAACAAATAWATCTTTCACACATTTAAATAAGTTAAAAATTATTTATATCAATAAATATTATTTATATCAATATTATGTTCATACTATATTGAAAATTTTTATATTTTGTCAGATTTTTTTTATAATACTATAAAAATCCATCTATTTCAGTGTACATATGAAAAAATCGATGTAAATGAAAATTGAATACCTGCTTAAATATTTGAAATAATAAAGAGTTTTAAAAATGAAAACGCAAAACGTAAAAATCCTTAAAATAGACTTTATTGTACCACGATTCATAATTGCATTAGAGRATAGGTCCCATGTGGATATTATTACGTTAAAAGGGTAAATATAATAGTAAAACGAAGAGGGGCATTGTCGGGTTTACACATTTTTTGTTACTTGTTTTCCCCTTTCGTAACCGAACGTTGCGAATGAATTAGAATGGACAATAATTTCAAGTCCGACAGAGGGTCGGTGGAGGGTATAGAGTCCACTCTCAGACTCAGCGACAACATTCTCTCTCTAGAACCTCACTGCGAACCCATCAGTTTCTCTCTCTATCCAATTGCAGTTGCAGAGGGCTGTAACCAACGGCGGAGTTCCGGTGGTTTTACACCGGAATGTCACTTTCCGGCTGTACTCCGGCACCTATTGCGTCCTTTTCAGCTCCTTTTTCTCTCTCTATCTCTAAGTCACAATGCACCTCCTCGTTAAAAATGTCAGAATCTTGATTCTTTTACTTAGAAAAGCTGGGTGAAACTTGGCTCCATTTGCAGCTGTACAATTTTTTGTTTCCCCTTTCTCTCCATTTTTTGTYTGCCTCTTTTCTCTTGCTTTTTCTCGTCGATCTCGCTCTCCAATTTCCCCTTTGTCATCGCTGCTAATCGAATCTGACTTCTCTCTCTCTTCCCCTTTTTCTTTCCGGTTCATCTTTTGCTCAGATAACTTTTGAAGCTAGATTCTTCTCTTTTTATCTCTTTCTTTATTTTGCCCCTTTCTCCTTGTCGTTGCTTAGACCCATTTTGAATCTGTAAAAGTTGCTTTTAATCTGTTTTGGATTAGGGATTCATTTCTAATTTTAATCGTCTCTTCAGTTTTTCCAGAATGTTTATCATGTGGTTACCAGCCGAATTCAATGTAGGTTCCCTGAGGCTCTGATTTCTATTCTGGCTCATTCATTCCTCTCCCCCTGCTCCATGGGAATTCCATAGCCCTTTACCTCGCTGAAGGTGATTTTACACCCAACTGTTTTTGGTCAACTTCTCAGAAACAGATCCTTGAGTTTGCTGCAGCCTTGCGTATTCAGGTTGGGATTCTGCACCGCATATCTCATTTTTATGCGATAAAACTTTTTTAGCACTTCAGCTTAGATGTATGGAAGTTTCAGCATTACAGGTATTGAGATGAATGGGATTCAGAGAAGAAAAGTTGGTAATAATGACAAGCCTTTCCCTGGCTGTCTGGGTAGAATGGTGAACCTTTTCGATCTGAGTACGGGTGTTCCTAGGAACAAGCTTCTTACTGATGCACCACATCGTGAAGGTGACCTATATTTCCCCTCTAGATACCAGATTCTGTTCAAACTACTTTAGTTTATCTAATTAAACTGTCATTGTTATTTAATTCTTGCTAGAATTTAGTGGGTTCTTTTCCTCTCCCTTTCCCACTTGATTTTCTTGGTTGTGCTCATTCTTCTTGTTATCTTTCTTTTGATTGTGAATGGGATAACAGAGATGTGGCTATTTGGCAGGTTCTGCACTCTCAAGAAGTCAGGCAGATGTTGCAAGGATGTTTAATCACTCCACAAATCAGACCGAAGATAATCTGGTACGTTTTGTGCACCACTTATACTTGTAGATAATTAACTACATATTCGATTCATATGGAGCTGGAGGTCGAGAATCACGTGCAGCATTTGTCTGACTCTGGATTAGTTTTATTATTCACAGCCCATTATCTTGATATTTTGCATTTGTGTGGATTGATCAGACAGTGCCTGAATTGCAGAGGATATCGCGTAAGAAAGCAAATGGAACGCCTGTGAAGATGCTCATAGATCAAGAGATGTCCGAAATGGAGCGGATGCACAATCCACCCAATGTGGTTGCAAAACTAATGGGGCTTGAAACTCTCCCTCGTCAGCTTCCTGGTTCATCTATTCAAAGAAATAATGTAAGAAGTTATCCAAAGAGTAGAGTTGCAGACCATTGGATGCCATTAGGATGTAGGGAACAAGGCGACTTCTTGGAGGAGGAAATTAAATGCCAAGATGATCAATGTTCAGAGCAGAAGGAATATAAAGATGTTTATGAAATATGGCAGCAATCTCCGCAGACGAATTACACTAGAGAAAAACTGCCAAAGAAGGGAATGGAAAGTGAAATTTTGAATGATAGAAAGATGGAACTTGTTCGCCAGAAGTTTGTAGAAGCTAAACGTCTGGCCACCAACGAGAGACTGTGTCAATCCAAGGAATTTCAAGATGCACTAGACGTCTTAAGTTCTAACAAGGATTTGTTTGTCAAGTTTCTGCAGGAGCCAAATTCTTTGTTTACTCAGCATCTGAATGAACTCCAGTCCATCCCTCCATCTCCTGAGACAAAACGTATCACTGTTCTTAGACCTACAAAGGTTTCTAGGGATGAAGGGTTTACTGAATTCGAGAAAAAAAACTACAGACAGTTGAGGCTACCAGCTCAGAGGGGTCAGTCAGCTATTTTAGACAAAAGCGACTTGAGACGTTCTCCTACTCCAGCTAATAGGACTAATGAATATGCTGTAGCTATTAATCGAGCTAATGARTATGCTGTAGCTGTTCAATCAACAAGAATAGTGGTACTGAAGCCTAGTCCTGGGAGGAGTCATGATACTAAGCCTATAATCTCATTACCTGGYGCATTGCCTAGAGTGGTGCAGGGTGGAAGCTTTCATGAGGGATTTGAAGATGATGATGTGAAGGAATCAAGAAAATTTGCAAAGAATATTACTCAGAAAATGTGTGAAAATCTTTTGGGGCATCGAAGGGACGAGACTTTGCTTTCTTCTGTGTTTTCAAATGGTTATACTGGTGATGAAAGTTCATTTGAAAAATCAGAAAATGACTATGCAGTTGAAAATCTCAGTGATTTGGAAGTCATGTCTTCCTCTTCACGGCATTCTTGGGAATATGTAAACAGATATAGTAGCCCGTATTCATCCTCCTCATTCAGCCGGATGTCATGTTCTCCAGAGTCATCAGTGTGCAGAGAAGCCAAAAAGCGACTATCAGAAAGATGGGCCATGATGGCATCACATGGGAACTATCAAGAGAAAAGGCACGTTCGGAGAAACTCAAGTACATTGGGTGAGATGCTTGCACTCTCAGATGCAAAGAAATCAACAGTTTTGGATAATGAAGTTAATGAACATGAAACAAGTGAATTAGATCCATGTTTTAATCGTGATGAAAATATAGAATGTATTGACGATTCGCCCACGACATTTATAAGGTCAAAATCTGTCCCGGGATCTTTTGCATCATTTGGTGTGCTTAATGTTGAAGCATCAGATCTTGAGACTGTCAAAACTGATGATCCGAAGTTCCTGGCAAAGCCAAAGGGTACTAAGTCGTCATCATTTAATGAGAAAGTTTCTAGTTTATTTTTCTCTAGGAATAAGAAAACAAGTAAAGAAAATTGTAGCGGATCTCAAACAAAGGATGAATCGCAATATTCCAGTGCTGGGACACCCTCACCCCTATCTTTCATTCGTCATTCTAGAGGGGTGAGTAACGGTAATGAAGGCCTCGAAGGGTGCTCGTCAAGCTCGTCTTTTCTACATTTAACCAATATGGTTGCGGGAGGAGGTGCAGTTCATCATGAGGTAAATATTTCATTCTGTGGTTGTAATAGTTTATTTCTAATCTATTTGATGTTAAATATCACAACATACATGATATAATCATAAAAATGTAGGTTTTTGCTTTTCTAAGGTATATTCTTGTTTGTTATTGCAATTAGATATGCAATTATTTGTCGATTTGTTATAAGAGAGCTGGAGAGAAGATGTCCCGAATAGTCCTTTCACCTATTGATTCTCTTCAATTCTCATTCATGTATCATAGGCAGCTGGTTTATATGTTAAGCATCCAAGTTCTCAAATGTTTTTCCTTTTAAGTTGTGAGGAAAGTTAGTTTTCTTATGTTGAGAGTAGTGTAATAAACAAGGTTTAAATGCCCGGCACAATAAACTGAGTGCCCTTGGCTTGTGTCTGTGTTCTAGTGATTTCATGAATAATTTTCTTTTCGGAATACATCAAACCGTTTGATTTTAAGTAATAATGAACAAGGTTGTTTTTTTACGATTTTCAGGCAGGGTTGTCTGTAAAAAGGCCTTTCATGACTGGAAATATTGGTGAAAATCAGGAGCAGCCAAGTCCAATATCCGTTCTGGAACCGCCATTTTTTGAAGACGACTACACAAATCTTGAGTTGTCAAGCTATTTGAAGCCAGGAAACCAAGGTAATGTAGTTAATACATATGCTAGAACGGAGATGGCCTACACTTATCTATCTTTATCTGTATCTCATATAAATCTTTAACCGAACAGAGTTCTGTATGCCGTTCAAGAGTAGCCTCATTGACAAATCGCCGCCCATAGAATCAATTGCTCGGAGTATGTTCTGGGGCGCTTGTTTGGATTCATCTGCTCCTTATCCACTTGAATCTCCACCAGTTTCCACTTGTTTGGAGGAAGAACAAAACTGGCATTGCCTTGTCGAAGCCCTTCTCACAATGTCTGGTCTCAGTAGTGAAGTACAACAATGTGGCTTATTGTTCACTAGATGGCATTCGCCTGTAAATCCACTAGATCCATCTCTAAGAGACAAATATGCCAATCTAAGCAGCAAAGAGCCAATGCTCGAGGCCAAGCGGAGGCAGCTGCGATCAAGTAGGAAGCTTGTATTTGACCGTGTCAATGCTGCCTTGGTGGACATAACTAGTGAGGAACACGACCAAATATGGAGAGCAAAAACACCTACCGGTGCTGGTGCCCGTGACAGCAGCTCTACAGAGTGTACATCACTAACATTATTAGACTGTGTTATGGGCAAACTCAAGGATTGGGTTTGTGGTGAATCTAGATGTGTTTTAGGAGACATAGGGGACAGCAACAGCCTGGTGGTGGAAAGGGTAGTTAGAAAAGAGGTTGGGGGGAGAAATTGGGATGACCATCTGAGGATGGAAATGAATAATTTGGGGAAGGAAGTAGGAAGGAGATTAATGGAAGAGCTTTTGGAAGAGGCTGTAGTTGAACTGACAGGTAAAGTGTGATTAGACTTTGAAGTTTCTGTTTTGTTTCATATTAATTCATTATCTCTTTCCTTAACTTAACTTTGTACTGATATTCAATAATGATGGCCCTCTGATTTATTCCCTGTATGTTATGTTCAGTTAAGTCCCTCTTAACCTCTGATATTCAATATGTGAAAATCCATCGGGTATAGGTCGATGCAGAATTCGGTTTTAAGCTCGCTCCGACATCCTATGCTCAAGAATTGTAGAGCATACCTCGAACTCCAGGTCTCTAGGGAGTCAACTTGGATTTGTTCAGGTTGATCGGCTCAATTGGATCCAGGCTGAGTGATCCAACCCTAGTCGGGTCTAGTCCGGTCAGGTTTGGCCTCACTACAAATGAATCTTACCCATAGGAGTAAGTTTGAAAGAAAATATATAGATAGCCGAAGAAGCAGCAGAATGTGGCAATGAGGCCTAAAAAAAGCACATGATCCCGTGACAGCCTGTAATGGGTATTTGGAATCAAGGGCATTAATTGAAAAAAGGATTCGGCTTTATCCGTGGGGTCCATTGATTGCTATTTGCTAGTGGACTGATTCTTCAAACAGTGAAGGCCAATGGGACACACACACTCGTATCGCAGTCGTCTCTATCTGTATAGGAAATCGCATTGGTTCAGGGCAGACRTGTGATTGCCAAAAATTACAAATTTAAATATATATAATTATAAGGCTAAATATCTCTCTTTTATAATATTTTTAATTTGGTCTTTAATTTTTCTAAATTTTCAATTGAGCTATTTTAAAAATGGGCAAGCGACTTTGGTTATGGTTTTGTCAAATGAAATTCTTTTATCATTAAGTTATTGTTTTGTTTTATTGATATATTTGGGTATGCGAATATACCACTTCGATTATGGGTGGATATTTTTGCCTTTTCAAATATATGCAYGAATTCTTTGGTTAATAAATTTTAATAATTTCTTACCAGAGCTGAATAAAAATTTAACAACTTTTTTATTTTTCGAAAGATAGAAAAAATATCTTATATTTTGAATTTTTCCAAGTTTACGGGTGACTAGAAAAAATGAGGGTTGGCAGATAAATCTTTTGGTAACATTCGTAGAGAGACCTAAACATTTAACAACTATTTTATGTTTTTATTTCCCATTTTTTATAAATATTCTCAACATTGTATAGAAATTTTGAAAAAAACAAAAAACAATCAAATTTCTCGTTCCTTATTCCAATTTTCAATGAGTATTAAAGGTCATGCAATTCTATTTTCTTTATTATAAAAAAGAAACAGAAACCAGAAACGAAAACGAACCCTAAGTATTTCTCATATAGGTTAGGTACCTGAACACTATTTATATATAGATATTAGAAGTGGCCGCCATAGAGGATTCAACAAATCAATCCATTAGATTAGACCTTACTGATTTAGTTAACATGGCCAGGAACTTTACAAGATTAGAATGAAAAAACTCATTCAAATTCCTCAACTGGATGATATTCACATCTCATCACACACCGGAACCTTGCATTCTTTCACACAGCTGATTGCAATCCATCCTATGAGATATCCCAAATGAAAGCACACGACACAGTGGAACAGAAACTTACAGACACCAATGACCAGTTCAATTCACCTTGCAACCTTCAATTTAAATCCCCAAGGTTACCTAACTATGTGGCAAAAAGATAATCCGGTAACGCCCATGGGTTCCTCCGACCAGCGCAAGGAAGACTTTATGTTTCGACTGCCTGGATTCTTCTCTTTCATCTATGAACTTTGGTTTGATGAATTGTATCTGTCACTGTTGTTTAATCCATACTGCAACAAAAAAGGAAAGCTACATTTAGAAACGAATATCGTATGAAGACAACCCTCCCTCGCTTTTCCTAAGAGAGGAGAATAGTGCATGGGWGAACACGATACCTTCTCTCTCATGCGTGCACCCCAAAGGTCAAAATGAGTACCGGAAGCTTGATTTGCTGGTGGATTGAGTAATGGCTCCCGAGTTCTATCACGACCATCGGTATCCTCTTCAGCATCATACTCAGTTTTACGGGTTGAAACCATGGATCTCAGAATAATTGCCAGCAGTAAAGATAATGCCTGAGAGGTTGCGAGAAAGACAAGTGAATGACCAAAACAAGTATCATCAAAAAGTGTCAGAGAGGTTACACTATAAACTTTGAGTAAACTCCATAAATGATAAAACGAGCAAGTATGCTAAGGATTCTTTATAAGACATTTCAAAAAAGAACATATTGTGCATAGGGACTATTGAGTCATCCAAAATAAGGGTCCAGGTTGCACCTAGGAGGGAAAAACTAAAGTGAGATTCATCTTGAGGAAACTCCTGCCCGTTTAAACTACCGGGGCAATGAATTGGCAAGTTAGCACTTGCAAAAGTTTAGGTATGTTGTTCATGGCAGATAAATGAAAACAGGAGCACTTTCCAACTTGTCCTGTGGAGAAGTTATGCCTATAATGAAATTGGACGATATGAAATTCTTGGAATATACAATAGTTGCTATATGAGCAAACTATTTGAAGTCCTTCCAGACAAAAAAAGAAAAAGAAAAAGACCCCTGATGTCCGAAGCAGCATGAACCACCAGATAAATAGATTCACCTGGTACTATTCAGATAAATATCAACATTTGACCTCGAAGTGGGTCCAGAAACAAGCGAATTAAGGGATACATGATTAATTGCCATCAATTTAGAAATCAATATACCTGGGTTGATATCACAATGATGCCGATCCACTTGCATAGATCTACATTGTCTTCAATGAATTGCCTGAGTCCCTCCAATTCTCCAGTTGGGTCAAACGGAAGGTCCTGAATCATTGTTTTCAGGTAAATATATTTCGATAGAGCCATATGCACGTGTAAATTTGCTTTCAAGTAGAGAAGAATACCTTTTCCCACCCGCGATCAATTGCAATAAATGCCACCAGAGCCACTTCAACGAGAATAAGCAGCATTATAAGCATATTATACTAGTATTGCTAGGTTAAGGGAAAGAGATGCTAAATAGAAATATTCACTCGTCAAGAAACAAAGTGCTTTCCACTTCAAAGGAAGACAGTTAAAAAAAGCTGAAAAGGAGTCAATGTTCACTTATTGGAAAAAGGATCAAAAGTTCCAAAAGTAGTTGAAATTGGGTGGACAAGTTTACAATGAAAGAAAGTACATCCTTTTTCCTCATCCATTTTGCTTGAATTAAACTATTGGAATGCAATTCTTTAAAAAGTTAGGATCGGTAAGTTCTACACTAACACATGCGTCCCTAGAGCATGTTTTTATCAGTCCTCACAAACTCAACTATTAGAGGTATGATTTTTACCATTTTAACTCAAACAAAGTTAAACTGCAGTATCGAGGTGCATTTTAAATGTCCACGAAACAATATGTAGAACTGAGAAACAAGCTGTCAAAAAGATTAAAATTAGTAGGATACGAAACAAAGGCAGCAGCCACTTATTGCTTCAGCTGCAATACAGCCAACTAAAGTAATACAACACAACGAGATGCCCAATCCCATGAATGAGTAGATGAACCTGCCACCAAGAAAAAGCATCAAATTAGCAATCATATGAGCCTATCGGACCCAAAAGTTTGACAAAATATAATTACCAATCGGYAGCTATGATCATTGGAATGATAATTCAGCATCAGATTGAGAACTTCATTTCCTAAGAACTACCGAATTAATATGAAGAGAATCGTTGAGGAGAAGACTGTAAAATCAATGTTTAGTTACTTCTCAAAGAAGGGTCTTATCCATCAAATCCATAGTAGCAATCCATCACCAATAATTAAGAGTAAATTTAATGCCATTGAAGTTTAAACGCACCCGGAACCGAATTTCAAACAGTATTAGATAATTATTTGGGAAAAAAGAAAAGAAAAGGCAGCGACAGAGAGTACTTAAGGAAAATTTAAATAAAAAAAAATTAAAACGAAGTTCATTTAATTTTGAGTACGAAATCCCAATCCGGACATAATTCCACCGCCACAAGATCATTGATTATGTAAACTTACCCAACTCATAAATGCGCAACATGGATTTCCAAACTCGCCCCAATTAAGAGTCACGAGAGATAAACGAAATTGAAAAGTTCACATAAATTCCCAATCACAAATTCAAATAAACCTTACCAAGGGGCCGGAAGCTTAAATGCGTTCAAATCAGGCTCAAATTCCGTACCGAACGCAGCTAAATTCATGGCCGCGAACCGATCGGCAACACGGATTGGTTCGGAATTAAAATAGAGCGAAAAAGAAGAAACCGGGGAAGGAGCCAGAGCCGGTACGGGAGGTGGCGGGGACACAGGAACGTCGCGATGGCTCCACCGATCGAGCATCCATGCCGAGTAAACTATGATCGAGATTC